CTGTGTCTATAGCGCTCCCCTCTGTTGTCTGTCTGTGTCTATAGCTCAGTTCTGAAGAGAAGTGTTTTCTCCCCGGCAGGGCTCTTCCAGTGAACATTAGTTGCCCCGGGGGTAATCAGTCCTGGGCCAGTGTGGAGACCGGATCGGAGGGTCGGATTTGCCGTGATCAGCAGAGTTCCTGTAACAGCACCGGAGATGTGGGTGAGTCCCGGGACAGACTGTTCCTGCCTATTTCCCATAATGCACCTCACTGATCTGTGTATAACAACCCCCCCCCTCCCGGACACCTCCATCCCGAAAGGGGGCGGGGCTAGCCTCATACTGCAGACAACATATGACACACATGTGACCAATCACTTGTTTCCTCCTAGCGGTGCTGTGTCCAGAGAACTCGCTCTGCGCTCCCGATGGACCCGGCTACACACAGTGCGTCTGCGTTGCCGGATTCAGCGGCTACAAATGTCTGAGAGAGGTGAGTGAGGAGGAAAGAATGGGCGTAGCCTATGGGCAGGATGGAGCGGTCATAGAATTGGGAGGAGTCTAATGTGTGATCAATATCCTGTACAACATCACTCAGACTGGGAGCCAATCAGGGGACTCGCCAATCAATGTTACTTTGTATCTCTCTATCTCCCTCTGATCAATGTTTATATACAATGTTACTTTGTATCTCTCTATCTCCCTCTGATCAATGTTTATATACAATGTTACTTTGTATCTCTCTATCTCCCTCTGATCAATGTTTATAAACAATGTTACTTTGTATCTCTCTATCTCCCCTCTGATCAATGTTTATATACAATGTTACTTTGTATCTCTCTATCTCCCTCTGATCAATGTTTATAAACAATGTTACTTTGTATCTCTCTATCCCTCTGATCAATGTTTATATACAATGTGACTTTGTATCTGTGCGATGTTGGGGGATGGGATTTATTACAGACATCCTTTGTATCATGTTGAGTGTTGGCAGTGGGTGGATCATAGTCGGATTCTCCAGTCGGATTCTCCTGGTGTATAATGTCTGCTCTCTCCGCAGGGCTCCTTCCCTATGATCATGTTCTTCGGGATCCTGTCCTCTGTCACCATCGTTCTGGCCATATTTTTCTGGTGTACGCAGAGGAAGAAGGTGAAGAGTCTGTAGATGGAGTCATGTGACCGGGCGCAGGACATGTATAGACCTTCTGATGCCTCCGATCACAGACTGCGGCGGATGAAGATCTGCAGTGTAAGAACGTTCACAAGGACACAACCTCCAAGACTGTTTGGGTAACACTGAGCTCCTCAGTGAAGGATGGAGGGGAAAATGTCTGTCATAGGGGGAGGAGCATCTTTTCTTGTTTCTGTATATGAAAAGTGAGATGACACTTTCTTCTGCACTTTACTGTTCCTCTTCTCTATGTCGCAGTGAAGGGAAAGCCGGAGTTCAGCTATTCAGAGTTTTGCTCAAGTCCAAATGTGATTGGTTCTCTTGAAGGTCCTCTGCTGTTTCTATTGGCAGAGAATGTTCCCAGTCACCTCCGCAGCTAATTTATGATAGAGAGGGGGAGGGGTTTGAATGTTTTGTTCATACTCATTGGGGCCTTAGCATGCAGTGTCCAGGGGCCAGGAAACCCCACCTCCCTCCTTTTATGTCCGTGTTCCGTCTTACCTGGGGTGAGTGTCAGACATGTTGGGTTGCCATGAGAACGAATGCAATCTACGCAAACCAATCATTGCCAAGAACATGAACTTCCTTCCTCTCACAGGGTGACAACGCTCTTCATTCCGTAGCTCAGTTGCAGTGTGTTGTCACTCTCTGGATGGGGAGTCTTAGGTGAACAAAGCAAAGCCTGACTCCATGTAACATCTTCTCAGGAGCTGCAGTGACCCTCAGTGAAGTATTGTAACCACCCCCTGCCCTGGGAGATGGTTTGTCCCAATCCCTGGAACTCAGTGTTGGTGGCCGGTTACAGGATGTGGGATAATGGCAGATCTACGGGCAGGATCAACAGGAGAAGAATCTGAGGAGTGAACAGATTGCTGGTAATGCTCCGGACGGAACTGCATCAGGTCTCATTCTTAGCTGTGCCCGGAGTTCTCCTTTAATTTGTCGAGCAGATCCCACAACAGTCTCCCGGCTCAGAATAATGATCTTTTGTATAAAATGTAATATTTTTGGTGGATTAAACAGGAAGTCTGGTGAATACATTGTATCGGAGTCTCCATTAGCGGCACGCTGTGATGTCGGTTGTAAATCATTGTCGTGGCGGCAGAAAGGAGAAGTACGAGGTCAGTGTTCCCCCTATTATGTCTGGATCCGCCCAGCTGCGTGAGTGACAGCTGGCTCCTCCTCCAGAGCCAGCTGTACCCGCCCCCTCCCCCATCCGTTCCGCCAGTCAGCGCTGGAGGGTCAGAGAGGGGGGGTGGAATCCCTGCAGGGAGTCGTGAGTGACAGTCACAGCTCTCTGCAGTGACAGGATCGAGAGGTGAGCGAACGCCGGTATGCGTTCCCGATCTACTGAGCCGACCTGTGACAGTCTCATTGTGACACGTCGCCCCGAACTATGAGGAGGATTGGAAATCACTGACCTCATAGTTCTCCTTTAAATTATTTTTGGTTGATCAGTTTTTAGCGCCGGCGTTCTATCGAAAGCTCCAACTCATCGAGATCTCCAACTACCTCACTTGCGGTGCTCAGAAAGACCGGAGCTCTGTACAGTTGCGGCGCGCAGAGCGTGTTCACAATACTCCGAGTTTGCCGCCTGCTGAACATTGTTGCAATGCCGTCGTGCAGAACCTCCGCCGGTCTTTGTTGTTTGCCGTCGGGTCGAAAATCTCTCAACTTGCAAGTACCTGGCCCGTGAGGTAGTTGGAGATTTGGACGAGTTGAAGCTTTCGATAGAACGCCGGAATTCTTTCCCCCGTGAGGATGAAGGGGATCGCTCTGGTCATAGTTTAAAGGAGAACTCCGAGGTCAGGGCTTTCCCCCATAGTTCTCCTTAGGGTCGGGGGAGGGACACAAACTAGCGTCCTCCCGTCACACTAAGCTCAGTATATAGGGAGCTACAGCTCGCGGTATACTGAGACGCCGCAGCCGGAGCGGATCCCGACGTAGATGACAGGATCCGCCCAGCTGCGGGAGTGACCGCTGGCTCCTCCTATCTAGAGGCAGAGCCAGCTGTACCCTCCCCCGTCCGTTCCGCCAGTCAGCGATGGCAGATCGGAGCGGGGAATCCAGCCCCTCCCCTGTCACGGCAGAGAGCCGTGACAGGATCGAGAGGTGAGCGAACGCCGGTATGTGTTCTCTCACCTCCCGATCTACTGAGCCGACCTGTGACAGTCTCATTGTCACACGTCGGCTAGAACTATGAGGTGAGTGAAAAGCCCCTCCCCCCTCATAGTTCTCCTTTTAAGTCTGAGGGACCCCAACCTAGGTGGAGAGGATGAGGAGAGTAGTACTGAGCACGCAATCCCCCCCCCCAGACTCTAGGAATCCAGCCAGAGAAGGTGACACGGTGACGGATCAGCCCAGAGGAGAAGACGGAGACGTCTGGTAGAGTCTGCAGAGGACTTGTGATGAGTCCCGGTCATAGATGTCTCTGTTATCACACAGCTCCGAGTCTCGGGGTTCCTTCTCTGACCCACAGCTGAAATGCGGAGCGACGGGGTCACACGGTCTCCATCATTCTTCCTCTCATGGGGTCACCGTCATCAGAACTGGTTACATTCTCAGAGAAGCCGGCTCTTCTTTCTTTGTGGCTTTACTTCTCTCAGTTCCTAAAAGCAGATTTACCGACGTCCTCCCGCGACCCCGATGTCAGGTGATAACAAGCTGCCGCCCACAAGACGCTCACATCGCAGAGGTGGGAGGGAAGCCACCAGTATTGTCAGAATCCATCCCGCTGCCTATTGACATCTGGCTCCTCCCCCAAGTCTGCCCCTCCAATGGGCATTGGAGGATGGAATCTGCAGGGAGTGACGACTGACAGGGATGGCCAAACTGCGGCCCTCCAGCTGTGGGGTGGAACTACGAATCCCATGAGGCTTTGCAAGATTCTCACAGCCACGACTCCCGGAGAGAGATGCTTCATGGGATTTGTAGTTTCACCCACAGCTGGAGGGCCGCAGTTCGGCCATCGCTGCGTAGGGAGAAGAATGTGTGCTTAGCAGTCACGGGTCATGTGATGGGTAAGTTCTCGGTCTTAGAGCCAGCATGCGATAGCTGCAGCAGCAGCCCACATCGGCCCCAAGCCGGGGGGTGTGTTGTCCTTTCCCAGCACTTCTCCTTCCATGTGTAAGACAATGTTCACACCCCAATATTACAAGGTCCTGAAGGCTAATAAGACTTATTACACCTCCCGAGACAAATATACTTCCATCTTTATCATATTCGTGTCTGTGACGGACTGAACCGTCACTGGGGCTGCTGGAGGAGCCTCCTTCCTAGAGACTATGGACCTAGGACTATTGAGGCCCCCCCCCCCCATGTGGGTTGAACTGGGTGTCCGGGGCCCATGGACGGCTGTTGCGGGGGAGCCTGGCCCTACAGCCGTCCAATTTCACAATTCAATATCGGCTCTGGAAACCCAATGTTAATGACAATGGTACACATATCAGCCCCTCCCATTCAAGCTATCGGACCAATCCCTGCTGACCCTGTTTTGAGTCCTCATTTGCATGGCCAAGAGGACCTAAGTGAGGACTAGAGGGGACTTTACAATTGACCAATAGGAAGGTGGTCGGTTGGGCGGGGCGTTGATACTGTTGTGTATAAAAGTGTGTGTGTGCATCCAATAGAGGAGATTCCTGTTGGAACTTCCACACAGCCGGCCCGGTGTTTGTTCTGAGCGATCACCACTGGATACGAACGGCACAGAGCTGGTGTTCCAATCCCGAATTATCGGACGACCGAAATATCAGACGCTGTGGTCTGAAATCTGAGGAGTGCCGGGAGAGTGGAACCGAGCGAGCAAAGGGGCTCGTTAGTGTCTAACAAATTATAATCGCATTCCGCTAAACCACACGCTGCTTGTTGGATTGTGAAACCTTCTTATGGATGTGCCGAGTCGTTGGCGTTAAAGCTGTGTGTGTGTGTGTGTGTCTGCTGAGCATACGAAACCCTCCATCATAATGACACCACACCCCCTCTGATTGGGCGGTGTTATCTCTGTGAGTTTCTTCAGGGACAAGAAAAAGCTGCTGCACAGGCAGCCCTGAGCTCTCATTTGACATCCAAAGTACTACAAACTCCGAGAGTCATTTTCTGATACTGAGCGGCGCCAACTGTTTTTCACTGCTGCACCCGCCTAGTCCAAAGGGACTTACTGGTCAGGAGTGCGATGGGACATGGACATATTTCTGAGGGCCAGTGACGTGCAAACATCAGATTAGACTTACTCCGCCAGTGCATCTCACTCTGCATGGACCCAAACACCAGGACTCTACTTGAACTCTGCCTCTTTGAAGGCGATACCACCATGTAAACCCTGTTACATTCCTGTCTACACATGGCAGCGATGGACATTTTCATTAATGTTAGAACTGCAACAGTGGATGCAGTGAATGGTGCGTGGTTCCATTAAAACACAGCGCCGATCTCTCTTCGGCTCCTGGTGTTTAAATTGTTGTCCGACAAGCTGGAAAACTGCTGCACAAGGTGAGGCTCAGTGTATAATTATCACAGCCTCCAGACTTGTATGGGGGGGGGGCTTCATCACCTCTTCATTCCCCATCCGTTCCAGCAAGAGGCCGGTGAGTGACATGAGACATACCGAGCACAAGCAGCCCACCATAGGAGCCCACCTGCCTCATCTGTACAGCTGACATCACAGGTCCCCTCACCCTCATTAGCTCTGACCACTAAGAACACCGCGGGTCATTGCTGATGGCCAGTAACAGTGCAAACATCAGATTAGACATACGCCGCAAGTGCACCTGACTCTGCAGGGACCCAAAAACCAGAAGAACTCTACCTCCCTAGTGTAAACCCTGTTACATTCCCATCTGGATGTGGCAGCAAGGGACACAAACATCTTCATTAAGGGTCGAAATGGCAACAATGGATGCTATGAATGGTGCGCGGTTCTATTAAAACACAGTGCTGATCAATCTTAAGACTGCTGGTGCTTAGATTGTTATCCCGCAAGCTGGAAAACTACAGAGGGGGAGGCTCAGTACATAATTTCCACCATTCTCCTTGGGGAGATTTGTATGGGGGAGGGACTCCCTCACCGCTCCATTCAAACAAGAGGCAGGTGAGTGACATGAGATGAATAGAGCACAAGCAGCCCGTCCAATCAGCACCCTGAGCATGAGAGCAGATGGTGGGCGGGGAGAGGAGAACATTGTGCAGAACAACAGGGAGCTCCTTGTAGGGAATCACACAAAGGTTAATGACAAACCCCGCCCCCCAGGGATCAGGTGACTTGCTGCCCAGGGATCAGCACTTCCTCGGGTGAGGCCACTTGCTTCCCAAACTCAGAGGAGCTGACTATTCTGTAAAAGGATCAAGGAAGTGATAGCAGGGGGTGAGTTTTAAGACTAGGCTCCTCCCATGACGACCTAAAACCCACTGAATGAAAGGGGCGGAGCCAGGGCCAGATGATGGACGTCCACCAGCCAGGAAATGAGGAGGGGCTCTATCTGACTTGCTGCCGCATCCAATTGTGAGAAGCTCCCCTTGTGCAGTGACATCAGAGGTACAACTGTGCAAGGCGGAAGATCCGAGAGAAGGAGGAAGGGAAGGGCCGGGGAGGTCCGAGAGAAGGCGGAAGGGGAGGGGCAGGAGGTCAGAGAGAAGGCGGAAGGGGAGGGCCGGGAGGTCAGATATAACAGCATTTCAACCAACCCGAGCCTGCGATACTTACCTCGTCTCCGGAGGTGGCACTAGATGTCCTCAAACTCAGAAGTGATGAACCCCCCACATCTGACCTCACCTTGTGCTGTAGTTTTCCAGCGTGCAGGAGCCTGAGAGTGATCAGCACTGTGTTTTAATGGAACCGTGCACCATTCATAGCATCCACTGTTGCAATTCTGACCCTTAAAGAAAATGCGTCCCTCGCTGCCACAACCAGGCAGGAATGTAGCCGAGTTTACATTGTGGTATCTCCTGCATAGGGGCAGAGTTCATGTAGAGTCCCCGCCTGGTCTTTGGGTCCAGCAGCTTTCACCCTGAAGACTGAGGACATACTGTGAGTGAGGGCGTCATGGATATCCACCACCACAGTGCTCTAACCTTGTTACATGGTGTGGTGCCAGCCCCTGCCAGCATGGATCACTCCCGTCTCTGGTCATATGGTACAGTGCAGGACCAGCCCCTGCCAGGTGGGGGGGGGGGGTTTCTCCGGTCACATGACACACAACGCAGCGACTGATACAAAACCAGGAATATTATATTGTATAGAAATAAACAGTTCTGGCGGATATCACGCGGCACAAACAATCGTCCTCCAATCCTCTCCGGTGGACCGTCACCCATCATCCGCAGCCGTGTGAAGATGGCGGGAGACGCAGAGGATGATGATCCTCCTCTTCACTTCCCGATCCGGAGGGGGCGAAGCGACCTCTGACTGCGGCTCCTCGCCGATCACAGCGACTCATCCGTCATCACTTCTCCATCTTCTCCCGATACTTAGTCTTCGCCTGCTGCAGAAAGTTCTGGAAGGCCGGTTCCTCCAGCCGATCCTCGGCCACTGCGGGGGAGGGGAGAAGGTACGGATATGGGAATGTCGGAGAGAACCCGGAATACGGAGAGGGAGCCTCACACAACGTGTATATACCGTATACTGCAATGTCAACTCCTCCCATGAACAACGCACAGAGACATGCATAGATCCCTGGAGTGGAGCAGAACCTGAACC